TGGACCTTCTGATAGTAAAGAATTACAACAGTCCAGCCTTGAAGTAAAAAAAAAGCATGGACTAGTTTCTCAGAATCACCCCTGGACAGGAGATTTAGGATTTTTTCAATATTCTGCAGATGCAAGAAGGAAATTCTAGAAACCTCTTTGATCTGGGATTTAAATGACAGGTCCTGATTTAAGTAACATAAATAACACTAAGGGTTTTAGAGTATTAGCAATTTAACTAAGTTTCTTTGCAGAGAGGACTCCTCTCTGGTCAAAGTTCAAAAGCAGAAATTGTGAGGATGTCAATTCCCTCCCTGCCCTGCTTCCCCACTACTTCCCCCACGTCAGGACTGCTACTCTATTCACTATTTGCATCATTTGCACCACTGTTTGCACTGCAGACATGACATTATTTGCACTATAGCCACTGTACTGTGCAGTAATAATAATTGCTGTACATGTTACAGTTACATCGTTTACATTGACTATTTGCATCAGTCATCCATCAGGACCACTGTAATGTTACTTTGTAAAAATTTACCGCTACACTTCCCATCTGTATATTTGTAATCTGCTTTAGTATTTAAACTACCGGTAGATCGTTGTTAGATTTTTAGTTATCCGAGCAGATACCTATATTTATTTCTATATCTTAGGTTTTTATTTCCCTTTTTTTTTATGCTATGGTTCATTGTATTTTATTATGCACCGTGGGGTTGAGAGGACTGCAATTTCATCTGTGTTGTATGTTTACCATGTAGCACATTTGACAATAAAGTTGAGTTGAGTTGAGTTGTCTTTAGCCTAACTGCTTTTGTTTTCTGGAATTTATCGTCAAATAAAGCTTAGTATCATTTGCATAGCAGCAGAAGTTAATCCCATAATGTTCTGACCCTACGACTGATCCCTCTAGATCAGAGGTCACATATTAGCGGACCGGATCCGGACCCACCTGCTGGTTAATCCAGACCCAACCTGATTTAAATCATTTATAAATTACCACATCTTGTCCGACGACAGTGTCTAACTTCCCTTGCGCCTCTTCTCCAGTTAATACGGTAAAGCCCTGGGGAGCGTCCGGCTCCAGGCTGCACGTGATCCAAATGAGCCAATGAGCTGTCAGTCTGGGTTGCTGCTGCTGCTACTTTTAGACACAGCAGGCAAACCTGTGGCAAGCCGGGCGATGGGAAAGAAGGAGAAGACCATGAGAAAAAGAGAGCAG